CACTCGGTCAGGTTGATGAATGAACGGCAAAGCCTTCACGATTCTCAATACAAGCTGTGTGTCGGAGCTTTCTCGAATTATGGCGGCTAAGACACTAAAAAATCCGTATCGCTGAAAGACAATGATGTTCAAACTTTCCTAGGAGGGGAAGAAAACCAATATAGTAAAAGAAAAACCTAAAGTTGCATATTCAAAGGCTTTGGTGTTAGCATTTCTGAATGAAAATCGACAACTGGAAGATTTGCCACTGGCCGATTTTGGCCGTTTACTTGAAAGACTTCTTCTGTCGGTAAGGACAAAGTCACTAAATGAGAATTTTGTAAATTGAAAATTACGACCATTGTCGTTTTTGTAATAATGATTCAACGCCCTTTTCCATCTTAAGAGTCAGCGCCAACGCGCTCTACGATTGTTATTCGAAGATTGTCGATTCATTTATTTTCATTCATTGATGAAGTCGGCTTGTCTTCTCATTAAAGGGCTATTGTGTTTAAATGAGAAACAGAATAATACATGGTTGCTTCCTGGGAACATTTTCATTCCTTAGTTGATGAACATTAATTGTTCACCGATGTGTAACCTTTCCCGTCAGTGGTGAACGAGATCTCTGAATAAACTCACGAAATATTTTGCACTTTCTTATAGCGGAGCTCGCAGAGCGTAGCCCCATAATTATACAAAATAGTAGTAACCCATCAAGCTGAAAAAATTTGGATGTACGACCTTACGACTGTACGACCGTACGAGGTGCTACTTTTAACATGCGTGGTCAACTGTACCGCGGGCACGCACTAGGCTCCGAGTTGGCCGACCCGGGTTCTAGTCATGGCCGGGGCAAGGCGTTGTGCCCTTGAGACGTGCGGGAAAAAAATGCGAGCTCCACTTTTAGGCTTGGCTAAATCTATATGTTATTCAAATAACTCTTTAACGAAGTTCAGATTCTCTTGGCATGCGACTTAATTGCCGTTAGATCTCCCCTGCAACGCTTCTCACTGAAAGTTACTCTTTTTAAGATCAATAAACCTGCTGCTATTCGTATGGAAAAACACTTTTTCGAACCGAATATAATGCCATCTTATCTTCTCTGTGAAAGGAAAATGGCTCCGCATACCACTTTTGTCGAGGGAACCTTTGAACGAATAAAGGCAAAACAGACAAATTAAACTCTTCAGGAAAAGAAAACAAAGTAAAACAAATTATCAATCATTGAAAAAAATAAGGGATAACTTTTCAAATTTCTTATGAAAATCTGTACTTCTACTTCATATTTTTGAATGTCCTTTCAACATATATACTAATGGAGCCAAAAATCTGCACTATCATCAAACTTGTAACTGATTCAAGTCCGTTTTCCTCGTTAGCCCGTTTTTCAAAAATTTTTCCGAACCAATCTCAAGGCTATGAACCGCTGTTCTCTTCGAGCATGCGCTGAAGCAGCCCTTACTTTGATGGTTACACTGGAGATCATTGGCCTAACCATGATCCTTTTAGAAAAGTTCGAACATGAGAAAATGATCAAACTACATTACTATATGTAAATGCAACAAATTTAAAGTAAAAATTGATTTGAAAGGGCTGGCCGGTTAATGAGTAACAAATGAAATTTCGAGTTTTAACAACAGTATCTCTACAAAAAATATTCGCCACATTTTATTCAAATTGTCAAATCAGATTACATGCGTTTACAGGATCTCGTGGAGATTTTATTTTTGGACAAGCATTTTAGAAAGCATTGGTTTTTTTTTTATTCGCACTCAAAAGGGTAATTTTCCCTGGCAGGTAATCCATACAAAAAAGTAGCCAGTTTAAATTTTGTCTCCGACCAATTTATATGTTATAATATCTATCTATGCATACATATACACCTGTTTTCAAAAACGTTGGAATTTGAAAAAAACATAGGAAATATATATTCGTTTTCTCATCAAAAAGTGTCTCTTTTTGACGAGAAAACAAAAGTTATATAAATATATTTCATGTATATTTTCAAATCGCAACATTTTTTAAAACGGGTGTGTGTATATATATAAATATATATCTATACTGTGGGGATATATATTTCTTTAGCTTTTTAACTGATTAAAATTTTGGTTTCTCGACTGTTAGATAAAAGAGCTCACTACAGCCTTTCGATATTTCCATATTCCGTTTACACAGTAGTCATGATAACTGCATTACAAACCTGCAAGACTTGTGATTTTAAAAATTTAAATGTCAAAACAGAATTTTGGATTAATTGGAAACGTGTTGTTCAGAAAAAAAAATGTCAAAGCTGTATTGCTCTGCTCAAATAAAAAAATGCAGTTTTAAACGAAAATCACGGAAATTAATAGTGACGGTGCAGATCTAGTCAAAAAGGGTTCTGTGGATTGCGTGGTGTTTTGCTATTGAAAGAAAATTTTAATTAAGTTTTTGGTTTAGTACTTATCTTTATCATCATAGGTAAAGACCGCTTCTCCACTTCCTGCTTCCAACCAGCGTTCAATAGTAACTTCGTGCCAGACTCTATTCAACCATTATCCCTTTACGTCCCGGGTGTTTGTTGGATCGATCCCCATTATGGATCCCAGGCCAACGCTTTCAAGGCTTACCGTGACATTAATACTTATGGGGGACTGGACACTAGTATGGAGCTATTCCTCAACTAACTACATTCATTTTAACGATGGTTGCAATGCGATCGCTCCAAGGCCAAATTGGCCGGCCAAGAATGAAGTTAATGTTCCAATCTCCACAATTCCCCCATTAAATGAAACAATACAACTCGGCAGACAGGTCTTCATCTAAAACAACATAAACAACTGGCTGGTGTGTCATCCAGGACCTGGCAGCTTGGTTGATTGGCGGGAAGGTGACATCAACTGTTCGATCATCAAACACGTGACTGACCTAAGTCACGAGTTGGTCCCATCCAAGTTTTCACCGAATCAAAACAATGGCTCTGAGCCGCTGCTTTACACGACTAAACGCTATAGTAGCACTAACTATTATTTTGATGGTCTCACTGAAAATCATAGGCCTACCCATGATCCTCTCGGAGGAAATAGTCCTAACCAAAAGAAAAATGTTGCAGGTCCACATGGTAACATTTTCATTCGAGTCGAGCAGGAAAGACAGACTCTAACAAATTTCTACT